CTGCCGCTACACTTTCGGTTCTTGGGGCAAATGAAAGCGCGACCTCACGTTCCCCACGCAGTGTAATGTTGGGGAGTGAATAATAAAGGCCCCCCCCCCAAACAAAATGGAGGGGGTCAATAGAGGAAACCCTAAAAACAAAATGAGGGTCAGACCGGGTCTTCCCTAAGTAGTATTCCAGTAAGTATTGCTTAGAATTGGTTTAGTATTGGTTTAGTATTCTTGCTGACTGGCTTAGTACTGCTTAGAATTGGTTTAGTATTGGATTAGTATTCTGGTTTGGTTCAGTGGTTCTTTGGAAAGGAAACTTCCTTTTCTGTGGAGACTCAGTAGTTCTTTGGAAAGGGAAGTCCTTTTCCTTGCAGGCATCCCTGGCCCCAGTCCCAAACAACTTTTCTCAATTAACCCCCCTTAAACAAATCTCATTATTGGCTTCCTGGGTGTTCCCTGTACTACCCCCTTGAAAATTTGGCAGGGTGCAACTTTTAGTAAGGGCTGTCATAAAGAATTTGGCTGTTGGGGCCTCAGTTAAACTTCCTTTTCTTGGGAGACTCAGTAGTTCTTTGGAAAGGGAAGTCCTTTTCCTTGCAGGCATCCCTGGCCCCAGTCCTAAACAACTTTTCTCAATTAACCCCCCTTAAACAAATCTCATTATTGGCTTCCTGGGTGTTCCCTGTACTATCCCCTTGAAAATTTGGCAGGGTGCAACTTTTAGTAAGGGCTGTCATAAAGAATTTGGCTGTTGGGGCCTCAGTTAAACTTCCTTTTCAGGGACTTCAAGCATCATCTCCTTGTTTCTTGCATCTGACAGGCAAGACACCAAAGGTGGAAAGGTAGGGTGGTGGTGGTAGGTTGGGGGGGGCGGGCGGGGCAGAGAGAGACAGGAGTTGCACTGAACTAGGGACTAATTATCAAACTTTTTTTGGGGGAACATTTTTCCGGATTTTTTGCCCCTCACAAAAACTTTTGTGTATTAACTCCCCTTTTTGCTTTTCAGGGGTGTTTTTTTTTGTGTATTGACTCCCCATTTATTATTCGCAACCTAACATTACTGATAGGATCTTGATTATTTCGAGATGGGTTTGCCAACACGAGTTATCCCCTTGTGTGATTTGGTTTGCGACCGATTTGGGTTCCATGATGGTTTCCTTCTTGGGTCCGTTCCTTATTTGAATTTGTGAATCAGGTTCAAGTCGCCTACTATGGTCCAATGAAGCGGTGAGTGTGAGTGAAGGCCATTCTTTGAAAAAAAGCACGCGCCCTTGTCATGGACCGAATTCCGGCACTCTTTGGAAAACGGAAAGTCGCTCCGTGCCACGAACCGAAAACAAAATCCGGGCATCTGAGGTCGACATGAGTGTGTACGGACCGCCGCCACCGGAGGCGGGCTCCTGTTTGGTTGCTGACTCAGCTGCTTCCTCTACTGCAACAAACCAACCCATTCTGCGTTTCTGAAGGGAAAGCTTTGCATTTGCATATGACATATGTGTATCCCCCTCCTACTATGACACGTGAGAGTGGGTCCCTTGAGAGGAACTTGAGCTTGCAGCTACCCTTCCACAAATGCTATGTTGGAGGATGGGGTATGTGTCAACTATGGGTTGCCTAAACATGGTGGTTTTCCTTTTGCCTTCTCTTCAAACCCAGTAGGTGAAGCTGAACTCCCGCCTCCCAAGTTCAAGTTGGCTCGATGGTGCAGAGATAGCATGGCCCCGGCTGGTGCATGACGCAGACAGCGGGGACCGCTGGTCCAAGTCGAGACGGCGTTGCGCCAAGAGGGGACCCTCTAAACACACACACACACACAAATGAAGATATAAAAATATGTCGAGACTTTTTTTGCACACCCAGACTGTCAAAATGGTCCCCTGCCGTTAAAAGGGGGAAGTCAAAGAGTTGATCCGCTTTTTGTTGCACTCGTTATCATCTCACCGATTCGGGGGGTAGAACGATTCTTTTTGCCAGGTTGGTGAAATATAGTGGTGACATTGTATTCTGGTGGCTTCTTACACTCCATGTTCTCTTCCGATGGCGGGCAATGCTAACAGGGTAGCCTTTATAGCTTGATCTTGTATTCTGTTCATCTCCGCGGGGATGCCCTAATTCAGATAGGTGAACACTAATGCATACCCTGCAACAATCGCGGAAGCTGACGATCGGAGGGTATTGGAGAGCTACTTTCCTTTTATAGAAGCCCTTTTTATCCACTTTCATTGGAAAGCTCACTTCCTGGGTTCATGGAATTTAAACTTTCTTGGAAGACCATTTTAGTAGAAAATAACAAGTTTGGACTTGTTCTGACCAATCCACTCAGGGAGTGAGAAAGAGTGTAACTTTTGGAACCTATCGGCATTTCAGAAGCTGACTTCACTCCGAGTGGCACCCTATCTCGCTTTTCAGGGAATTCGGGTTTTGTTTTCTCAGCCAACCGAACACTGTTGTTTTTTCAATGGCAAGCAACTCGATCCTACATCAATCCCCAAAAATAGCGGGACCAAAACAAACGTCAGCTAAAACGGTTCTACAAGAATCCCACCAAAAATAGCGGCTCCAGAGGGGGAAAAAAAGAACGCACAATCCCCCTTAAAATCAGGGTCCAAAAAAATAACAACAACCAACGGGTCCAGGTCCAACATCAACCGCCCAAAACATCGGTTTCCCGTTTTGCCCAACTCGCGGTTCGAGTTGTTACGCGACGGTAGAGGACGACTTCTTCGAGAAGCACCTGGCTCGATTCGAAGCGCCCTCCTTCGAGCAGCGGTCCTCGGATTTTCGGATTTGGGTCGGCTCGTCACCGAATAAAATGGTTTCTTTCTCGCTGGCTTTAAAAGGAATCCAACACTACCTGGAGTCTCCATGACCCTTAAAACATGGTTGGTCATTACCTAAAATAACGGGGTCGTTGACCCATTTTTAAAGGGTCATGGAGACTCCAGGTACAGGCAATACTTTCATTTTTTCCCAAGAGGCTTAAGCGTCTCCGAAGAAAATGTGTTGTTTTCCCTTGCCAGAGGGTTTCTTTGGCACCTTGTGGGGATGGCTGAAAAGGGGGGTAAAAAGGGGTCCAAGTACCTCCTTAGAAGGTACCAAGGGACCCTCTGGGCTTGTTGGCTTTAAAGGAATCTAACACTACTGGCAATACTGTTTTTTTTTTTTTTTTAAGCCAGGAGGCTTAAGCAAATGGAAGGATGGTTTAGGAATTCGTTCGAATTACGAAACAAAATCATGGCTGAAACCATCATTGGTTTGTATTTACAGGGGAACAGCAGAAACCAGCTTTTGTTAGGTGACAATTTTGCTTCTCCACAGTAGGGTGCCACTGGTGGACAAAATCCTCCTCGAACCAGTTGGTAGGTAATTTGTCCTTGTTCATCCCAACTGGTGCGAAGCGGATTTTGTCCAAGTATAAATGCTATTTTGGTGATATCCCCACGTTCAAAGGTTCAGAAGGAAACTCGAGGTGCCAGTTCTGGGATGGTTTTAAAGGGCAATCAAGAAGGAAAGCCGAAATCTGATTTTGGGGATTTCCCGATTGAAAGACAACCCATAGCAAAATGGGGGGAAGCCAATCATTTGTTAGGTTCCCTGGATGTTTCTTGGCACGTCCCTATTTGGGGAACCCCTGTCTCGCTATGTTTTGATTTGGAAATCAAAAGGACACCTTCATAAACAAGGGAGTCTCCATGACCCTTTAAGAATGGGTCAACGACCCCAGTATTTTGGGTAATGACCAACCATTTTTCAAGGGTCATGGAGACTCTAGGTAAACTTTCGGGAGTCCCCCATAGCTCCGAATCCGAATCCGATGTTCCACCTTCAGGTTTCTCCTGTCTTGAGCCTTGCATTGTGGGACCCCAAGGTCCTGGAATGAGGTCTAAATCCGAAGGGTCCTATGTTGAAAACCGTGTTTTTTTCTTTTTCTTGGGCTCCAAGTTTAGAGATGTTAATCTGCCAGGTTGCAAAAAAAGGTGTCAAGATTGGTCTACTTGTAGGTTCTCGGATTTGGGTGACTTCTAGGTTCGAAAATACAAACAGTGACCTCAAATCTTGAGGTTGTTCGTGCTATTGGATATTCTTGGGTCGGAGCCCTTTTGCAAGATAGCCAGAGGGGAGGCCGCAGTACGCCTTCGCTGCCTGGTTGCAGAACACCAAGCTTGTAATGCTGTTTGTTTCCCCTTACATCAGTGGTATAGAAACCTCCATGCCTCCATAACCCACACGTGAACCTGCCTTGACTTCAGGAAGAAGCCCTTCTCACTCCTGAACCAACTTCCGCAACTAGTTGGCTCCCTTTTGGAAATTCTCCCAGGGTCGTGAAGAGTTTGATGTTCTTTGCTTCGCATTGGAGGAGGCAGTTTCCAACAGGCCAAAGGAGACCAAGCTCTCCATTTGCCACAAGGATGATGTTGTGTACAGGTAGCACGCAAAACACGTGTGGCATGAAATTCGGTGATAGCAAAGATAGGGACGGCCTAGATTATCACAGCCATGGCCACGATGGCCATGTACAGACCATGTCCTAGGTCTCCCAGTAGTGCCCTTTTACCCTTTTTTGGGGGAGGGTTCCCCTACTAAAATAGACCATAGAAAAAGAATCGGGTACCCTTATTCTAAACTGGAGGACATAGGTGTCTTTTCGCCAAATTTGTGCTCCGCTGCTTAACGGGGCTCATCAGTCCGGTGAGCAAAGGCCGGAGGCCCCCCCTCCCCCCACGGGAAGACGAGTGGGTAGGTCGAAAAGCGAGTAGATTGTTCCCTTGCTTGCATTGCAATCAAGGAACAATTCATGCGAGGGTGCCAAGTTTTGACAAAGATACACACACCTGCTCAGTCCACCCTCATCAAGAACAAAGCTCATGGGCGGAAAAAAAACAAGTTGTTCCATACTTGGCAGCAGCTTAGAAGCGGTTCCCGTAGCACACCTGGGAACGGGATGTTTACCTCGCGCTTTGGAGCATGCCAGCAAAGCTTCTATGCCCGGAGCGAACAACCTTCATTCAGAACTTGCTACGAACATCGTGTCGCGCCGTCGCCGCCATGTTGTCGCTGCTGCGCCATGTTGTTTGGTGGCTGCCTGTGTGGGCGCAGGCAGCTTGCCCCGAGCTGTGTGACAAAAACTGCGAACCTACGGGGCTGTGGAAACGCTCTTGTGCGTGTGCTTGTGTGGGTTGGGTAAATGGGTGGGTTGGGTGGGTGGGTTGGGTGGGGTGGGCGGGTGGGGTAGGTGGGTGGGTGGGTGGGGTAGGTGGGTGGGGTAGGTGGGTGGGGTGGGTGGGTGGGAGGGTAGGGTAGGGTAGGGTAGGGTAGGGTAGGGTGGGTGGGGTAGGGTGGGGTGGGGGGGTGGGGTGGGGTGGGGTGGGGTGGGATGGGGTGGGTGGGTGGGTGGGTGGGTGGGTGGGTGGGTGGGTGGGTGGGATGGGGTGGGTGGGTGGGATGGGGTGGGTGGGTGGGTGGGTGGGTGGGTGGAGTGGGGTGGAGTGGGGTGGGGTGGGGTGGAGTGAGGTGGCGTGTGGGGTGGGGTGGTGGGTGAGTGGGGTGGAGTGGGGTGGGGTGGAGTGGGGTGGCGTGTGGGGTGGGGGGTGGGGTGTGGGGGTGTGGGTGTGGGTGTGTGTGGGTGTGTGGGTGTGTGAGTGTGTGGGTGTGTGGGTGTGTGGGTGTGTGGGTGTGTGTGTGTGTGTGCGGAGTGGCAGAAAACCCTGCCACCAAAACCTTTTTCTGTTGCTGCAGGGGGCAGTAGGGAGACCACAGTCCTACTGCCAACGAAGACGGCTGTGGAACCTCCGTGAAGCGGATTGGGACGCCAATCCGTGTACCTGCTGATCTGTGTTGCAAAGTCCTGTTGGCCCTCTTCTTTCTCTCGCTGTGTGTGCTTCATGTTGGACCTTGTAACGCTTTCGTCACTAGAGGGAAGCCGAGTGCATCGTGAGCCGAAACTTATCTTACTCGAGACTCATCAGTTGTACTCGAGACTCATCAGTTGTACTCGAAAGATGAGCACTCTCCATCTGGAGTTCAAGTGTGTACACCCCATTCGTGGGGAATCCTCGGGTGTACCCATTGTGTGACCCCGGGCCGGCTCTGTCGGAAAATTTGACCTCAACGTGCTTATCATAGAACAGCGGAATTTCACATTTAACCAGGAACGAGGTTTCACTAAAGGGAAGACAGCCATCAGACCATAGTGACGTCTCACCACAGCTGCTGGCTGCCGACTTTCATTGCATTTGCTGACCATTGGTTGAACTTGTTGCTCGTATCATTGCGGTTGAAGATTGCTGACTTGTATTTGCTTTGCCTTGTACATGTCGATCGACCATTGCAGCTGGGGCCGTTGACTTGCATTTGCATTGATTTGAATGTTGTCGGATCCGATTCTCTCAAGGTGGAAGTGTGCAGATTCAGAGTCAGCTGCGTCACCATGTCTCGACGTGATGATCGTGATAGATCCAGGACTCGGCGCAGACGTGATCGGAGTCCGTCCTCAAGCTCACAAAGCACGCCGACGTGAACACAATGACAACCAGGTCTCGGAGAACATGGATTGGAACAACTTGGTTTCATGGCAACACAACTCCGGCTACAACGCTGCCAACAACTTTCCGATGATACCTACCAACTTTCAATCGACTCACAATCCCACACAACAATTCCAATACCCAGCGATCAACTACATGATGCCGATCCAAGACCCCACGCCAACCAAGTTCATGCCACCAGTGATGCCACCACCGGTTACTACTTCCCAACCTACACCGTCACCCGGACCTCCTGCGGCTCTACCGGTTCGTCCTCAGAAAGCCTGGCTCACTCCCTCGCCTGACTGGACACCTGGAGACGGCATGTTTGATGTCAATCAGCTCTACAACTTCAGCCTGCCCATGACTGTTGCCAACACTCCGCATGGCAACCTTCGCGACATGTCAGGCATGGATATTAGGGACGTACGCCTGGTTCAGGTTATCCACGGGGGCCTCACCAACTGGCTACTCAGGCCGTTTGCACACGGCCGATTCGTGACGTGGGAAGGCTTTCGCACCCGCACCGAGGCCTTACTTTGGAGTACCTGTTCCAAATTACTACGAAGATCACAGTCACTCAACCTGCTCACCCTGGAAAAGGACCTTGCCAACACGCTGGGTCTCAACATCGATGACTTCAATCAGCGCATCAAGGTCCACGACCATTTGGCCAACTTGGTACTTCAATTTCTTCAACAACATCACACCTCTCTCGCACCTGCCGCCCAGACCGATGACATGGTCAAGAAGTTCAATGATCTAAATCGTGCGCACGAACTTCTCCAAGCTCAGTATTCCGCATCACTTCGCGCATCGACCTCTCCCACGATGACAAACCAGAAGGATGAGGCAGAGTTGGTTACACCGCCACCGGTCAACCACACACCATCCTCGTCACCTGCCAGCTCCCTTCCTACAGCCAGCGCAGCCGCCCTGGATGGCAAGTCGTTTGATAGCGCGGTGCAACCTCGGATCATCCAGTCTCTTCACGGAGTGTCGTCACCGCCGTCCAAACCGGCGGCGTCACAATTGCTCACCATGCACAGCACGCCGGATGAAGTTGTCAAGTACTACACATGGACCAGTGACCAACCTCGCCTTTATCTCAAGCAATCACCCACAACAACCACTTTGGCATCGCTGGTTAAGTGGGCCAATCACCCGACCCGGCTCAACGGCAACAAGTCCTTGGATTCTATGGCGACGCAGCTCCTTCAGGCGCGGCAACGCATGCCGAAAGGCGACGCACCCACGCTCGGGGCAATGGCGGCTTCGTGGGGACTAGAGCCCGGCTATCTTACCAAACTCACTGAGAAGGCACTGAGTCACCTCATCGTGACCGCTCGCCTACTCTGTGGATGAGAAGGCATCATGATGACCTTCGTTCTCATATGAGCCCGGAGCGGCAACAATGTCACGGATGAGTCCAGGTGAAAACTCGTCCGTCAAGTGTCTGCGTTGCACCAGATTGATCTTGTACTTGCTCGTTCTTGCATTGCCTCTTGTGTGATTGTCTGTGATGCTTGTATTCATGTCGCCGCCTTGTGGTAGATTTCGTTGGTTGTATCTCACCATGTTGGATGAACTTCGCCGCTGCGGAATCTATGATGATGTTGCACAATGGCAGTCGCTGGACGACCTTCTGCACTCGTTGACCATATTCTCTACGTGCTGGCAGTACTGTTTTCCTGGACTACCACCACCGTCGATTCCAACTGAGGAGTACGAATCCATCACACAATTGCCGTGGCTGGGTCTCATCCTCGAAGTCTTAGTTGTGGTCCGGATAGCCCTTCAGATTCCGAATCACGCTATGTCAAACTCTCGGCACACCGTGGCCAACAGGTACGAGCTTCACAGATGTCGGTGCGCTGCCTATTTATTGATTAGTTTCTTACAACGTCTCATTTCACAAGATCACGGCTACTTCCCGCCGTTCTTTGAAGTCCTTCACTTCTACAAGACTTCTCTCTTGTGTGAAATTATGCACTCTACTTTTGCTGACACGCGACATCTACGCTCATTGCGGGCGCGATTTCCGGACCTCTATGACTTCATACATGATCCAGGTCATCACCAACAACCGTGCGTCTACATTCGACTTTCCCCATGGCACACACCATACTATGTTGGGGCGACTGATCAGGATGTTCTACGTCGTGAACACTCACGCAGTCGCAAATTTCTACAACTACTTCGTGGACGGCATGCCTTCTTTGAACCAGCGCTTCACTACTGGAAAAGATCCAATACTTACTGGCTCTTCTGTGCTGTACCAGTGGAAATCAAACTTCCTGTTTCCTCGGTGTGGGTTCAAGAAAGCAAATGGCAATACCTGCTACGCCCGCATTTGAATGCGCCCTGGGTACACAGAATCTTGCGCAAGGTGGGCTTCCGGGAACATCTTGTGGATTTTCGACGCCACTCGTTGTCGTCTCCCACTTCCCTCGGCTTGCACAAGCGCTTTCGACGACGACTACATCCGGATCTCCAACGGCAACTACGACCTGACATCATGGATGACATCCAAGCCCATCACTCGATTCTCTATCAGCTGGGATCGAATACAGGAGCGTCGTTCCAAGTCATGCGTGACCTACTGTCGGCGGCTTTCCCTCCCACTCAGCTGTACTACTTATTGCGGCTCGCAGTCTTTGTCAACGAGCCCTTCCGCTCCAAGGCGCAGAAACTCCTCGCCCAGGTGCTGCGCAAACGACGACTACAACCACCCACCACTTTGACACAGCTACTCTTACCGCCGCTACATGTCCGGAATTGGAAAGCTCTACTTGGCACATGGTTACAAAGCTGAATTGCTTCTCATCGGGATCTGTTCCCTTCTCTTTTCATTCCGAAGATCCGGGTTGTGGAAACTCGCAGCGCCACATTGGGCGACAAGATATACAACTACCGCACATGGCAGCGCAAATGGACTCCTGAAACATCCTTTCCATGTCGCTGTTTGGACATCAATGATCACCATCTACACCGTGCACATGGTCACGCTGTAATGGTGGATGAGTTTTCTCGCATCAATGCGGACATTGACGTTGAAATCATGGCCGCCTCAATGAAGGATCAGTTTTTCGGTGATGTCGACTTATTGCATCAACGTTTCACCACACAACTTCGCAAACTTGCTCGCCACTGGCATGTACATGGTTCCAGTCTCCTTTCAGATCTACAGCCGGTTGTGACTCAGTTAATGGACACTCATCGGATGAACCTCCAAGATCGGGCTTATTGGTCATCGACATCGTTGCAACGCACTGTGGCTTCTTTGTCTTCGTGGGTCGTTATCCCAGCGGATCATTTTCCCTCCCGCGCACATGTGATGTGCCCGTCCCTGTTTGCTATACTGATGCGGAAGACATTCTGCTCGGGGGATGTCTTCTCACTTTGCCGCGAATCCGCAGCATCCTTTCGCTCTGAAGTGGTAACCACGGTACCTTCTCTCCTACGTCAACGATATGCATGGGGACTTCGACTTCAAGCACCGTTGCCCACAGCGCGCATCCTCCCAAAGCCGACCAAGGACTGGCAGAAAGCTCGACCCATCATTTCATTCTT